ATTCACCCACGTGTCACCAATTTCCAAATCGAAACCACACCCTGGGTGGCTCGGCTGCCACACTTTTCTGAAATCTTATAGGCCACTGTTTCGCGCCCAAAATTTCGGAACGCATGCCTGCATCAGCAGTCAGTGCAATGAGTCAGCGGGCAAGTAAAAACAATAAACCCCACATGGAAGGCATGCAATTCAGAAGGCATCAACCCTAAAATTTTAGGGTCGAGGCTCCCGAATGGCATGCAGTCCGATTGGGGTTTATATTTTTTGCCCACGGTCAGATTGGTTTCGATTTGGCAGAAGGGGCAAAAGTCTGCTGCGCACAGTTGGTCAGAATGTCCGTGGCATGGAAATTGGTGACACATGGGTGAATGTGGGGAAAATTACTGTCTTGTTTCTATAACTTCCCTGTCTGAAGCACGGAGGGGTGGAAAGTGCCCGCTACTGGCACTGTAGTACTCTTTAAAGTGCAGGGTCGCTAGTTGTGCCCTTGCCAAAGCTACTTACCCAAACCCAAGGCTGCCTTGGGATTTTGGCTTGTTGGAGGCAGTGGCGCGCTTGGACCATGCATGGGCACGCGCAGTGGCTTCCTCTTGCCCCGCTGTAGATGTTCCTCGCTACACGAGCAAAATTAGACCTGTGTGTCAGCTCCAGGGCCTTCTTTTGGTTTTTCGGTACTCTGGTTTTCATAGTAGTCATTATGCGAACTCTGAAATCCAGAGTGGTTCTTACGCCTTACTCTGAGCTGACAGAGTAACCCTATTACGTGGATTAAAAACCCTGGCATGTCAGAGTAATTTTTTTTTGTACTCTGATCGTAGTGTAAAATGTTGTGTGAGAAGTATGGAATGGGAGTATTGTTTTTCCAACTGTTTTGCGTTTTGATGTCACTCACACGGTTCAGTCAGTTCAGTCACGAATATATTTTATAATTGAATGTAATATAGGAAATCCGATACTAACTAACTAATAAAGAGGAGGCTCTTGGGCTACACTAGTAGTAGTCATCCTCGCCCTCCGATTCCGCATCAGACTCGATCTTCGCCTTCCCCCTTGCGCAAACTGGTGCGTTGTGCGCAGGTTTCTTGGCGGTGCGACGCTTCTTCTGATTGCGCCAGATGTCGACGACTTCATGCCACACGAAGTCGTACTGGAGCATGTGGATACTCATCAGCTCTGTCAGACGAGCGTCGTTGAGTGACGTGCGTATCCAGCTCTTGATGACGTTCTGCCTGCTGAACCCACGTTCGCACTCAACAGTGCTGAGCGGTAGCACGGACAACGCCTGCCACATCAGCATCAGGTTGGGGTACGTGCGAGCCCAGTCGCGCGTCTTCAGCATGTTTTGGAGCCCCTGATAAAAGTCCTCGTCCTCGTGGTGGTTCTTGAGGACGTGGCAGAACGTCTTCAGCTCGAGCTCTGCCGCCCGCAAGCCGAAACCTGCGCGCAGGGACAAATTTGGGTTTTAAACTGAAATAATTTACTGATAGCAGAGCTTAGCCAAACAACACCAGACATGCGCAACTCACAAAGTGTTCTAGATTCTCACCGGGCAGACAGTTGTTGAACAGCACAGAGTTTTGCCGAAGCCACATGAGGCAGCGCCGCTCGCGTGTGTCGAGGTTGGGGGGCCACGATTCCACCTTGAACAACCTCGTCCCGCCCATGCGACGAAGATCCGCCATCCGCTCGGTGAGATTATGGACGGTCTGCTTGGCGAATGCCTTGCTCATCTTCTCGCAGTCGCGCATTGTTCCGCCAAACTTGTGGCCAGCGATGGGCTCCTCGCTTAGAACAATCTCCTGGCTCACTGCGCGACCGTTGGAGTCCACGCCCTCCACTTTCACCTCACGCTTGCCATCCTTGTGGCGCTCCAGGAAAGGCGACAGCTGTGGGCTAAGGACCTCCCCGAACTTCGTCTCGTAGTCGATGTAGCGATGTTGGATGTACGACACCGTGCGGTCCACCTCCTGCGCCACGATTGTGACGTCCACCTGGGCGGAAGGCGGGAGGGTTTGAGATAATACAGCCAAACATAATAAGTTCACATTACAGAGTAAACAAACGTGTAAACCACCATGCAGAAGTGGGAAACAACGCCGAGATAATACTGCATAACAGTACCTTTCGCCTGTGGAAAAAGCGGTTCAGATTGTTGAGCTCGGCCAAGATGTCTGCCAGAAAATAAAGGCAAAAGTGAAACTTCAACGTCTGCACGGTGCTGGCTATCTTGTGCTCGTACTCGATGAAGACGCAGATCGCCGCCCCAAGAACCCAGCACATCCGCAGCACTGCCTCGCCCCGTGCTAGCCAGCGCACGTTGTGGAGCCCCTGGTGCTCCAGATTGGTCTTGTGGTACACCTGCTGCAACTCCTTGAACCGCTCATACCAGGGAGTTGACTTCCCGACGATCGACCCGAGGGCCCTGATGGCGTCGTCCACGATGTCGAAGCCTGGATAGGCCTCTGCTGCATTCTTGACAGCTAACGCTCTCTCTGCACGGTAGGGAACAGGGGGTTGCAGAGTAGGATATGTAAAACACAAAAAGAAAATCACATAGACTCAGAGAGATGTTTTACCGTGTTAAAATACCAAAAACATTTCGGAATAATAACACACCTGTGCGCGATGCAGTGGCACCCGACGAGATGCGCAATCTGCATGCGAAGGCGCGTCACAAGCCCAGTTTCCGATCCGACCATGACAGAGGCGCCGTCTGTTGGCATCCCAACAATTTTCTGAAGGTCGATGCTGATGGTCTCCAGATGTTGGAGCAGAACGGCATGCAGCGACGCCGCGTCACATTGAGTGACGGTAAGGAGCGTCAAGAACTCCGTTACCACCACGCGGTCCTTCAGGAAAGTGACAAACACAATCATGTGTTTGCCACGTGCGCGGTCTGTGCTCTCGTCGCACATGATGCCAATGTATGGCGACGCGTGCACGTGTCGCATTTGCTCGCGGTGAAGGAAAGTGGTTAAAGCCTTTACCATTTCCGAAAAGCCGTACCTGGCCACTACCAACGGTTCGTTGTTAGTGCATATTGAAAAAAAAAATGGAAAATCAAGGAGTACGGAGTTCAACATCAAGTGAGACTCACCGTGTGATGTACACGCCGTAAGACTGTCGCGGTATGTCGGCGACGCCCTCCTCAGCAAGAAACTGCACGAGCCTGGGGTACATCTGAATCGGTGTGTCCGTCTTGCACACAAACACGATGCTCCGCATTAGCCGCGAAATCCGCGCGCCCTCCGGATCGCCCTTCGCAAAGTCATCGATGCGTTTCTGCTCCTCGATGTTCTTCATCAGACCCATTTGCTTCTTCATGGCATCGTCGTGCTTCACGCTCTCCTCGTGCCAGCAAAAGGACCCAATCTGGAGGTCCCGACCTCCTTTCCCATTGCGGCCATAGCGAGCATCGTCCTTCCCGTGCTCTTTACAGACAGTGCAGCGAACACAAGGGAAACCGTCAGTCGATTTATCAAGGATTAACCATGGGAACCACGGAAGCCATTCCAACGTGTAGCTTTTCTGGGCCTTCAAATACAACTTCTCCTTCTTCTCCTCTGCGGTGAGTCGGACTACAAGTGTTGTTTTCTTGGCAGGTGGCGGTGGAGTCGGTGCAGGCTTAACGGGCTGCAGACCAATCCCGAGCACGGACTGCGTGAAGCACCGCTTCTTCGGCGTCTGTGAGGCGGTCGAGTCTGGAACAGACGCATCCACGACATGTGTTGGTGCTGTCTCGGCCGGTTCAGCGATGCTTGGGTGGTGCGATCCATCGCACACCTCGTTCTATCCGTCGTGGTCTTCATCTTCTTGGCGTGGCGAGCGAACCCACACCTCGACCCCATCGGAATGCTTGTCGTCGTCCGGTCCATCCCGACGATACCAATCGTCGCCTCCCCAGTAGTCACCACCGCCATCTTGCTGGTCGCCGGCGTGCTCGTGGGAACGATGTACCCTGCGCAAAAACTCCATACCTGTGATGGGGCGAGAGCTGCATGACGGGCCGGGATCAGGATCAGGCGCAGCAGAGTCAGCGTGGTCTGCGTCGTTAGCCATCTGTGGCAAGGCTGCAGGAGAAGGGTGGCTTGAGGCGTGGTAGTGATGCTGGGTACCTCAAGCCTGATCACGGATTGTGGAAATGGATGAAACACGGGTTCACCCCCCGGTGAGCCAGCCGAGCACTAGCAGGGCTTGGCCGCGTCGCCCACGTTTACACCTTCCGTGCGCTGTATCATTCCTTGATCCTGACTGAAGTTCAGATGTATAACAGTGTGTGCTGGCTGGGAAAACTGCCACTCCAGCCAATCAGCTCGCAAAATGCCGCCAACACACGAAGCGAAATCTTGATGAAGTGCTCGGCGACTCGGTTTAACCCCGGTAATTGGGGAAAGGGGGGAGAGAGGGGGGGGGGGGGGGGGGGGGGGCTAGGGGGCCTGTATCCTCTGTACAGAGTAAACACCATCCTTAGAAAAAAAAACCCTGGGGCCTCAGAGTGAACTATATCTCAACTCTGATACATCAGAGAAAACACAACTCCCAAAATCATAACCCAGCAGGTACAGAGTCCCTCTAAAAGACAACTCTGATTTTCAGAGAAACAGAGTGATTTACTCGGATAACGTGGGCCCTCAGCTCAGCACACACAATATAGATGGGCACAGTTTGAAAACAGGGGTCGGGTCACTGAAAATGTAGATCAATACAACCACCAGAGGTCCCACCGAGAATTGAACTCGGGCATTCAGATTCAGAGTCTGACATCATAACCGCTAGATCATGGGGCCACGGAACGTAATGATTAAATTTTTATTATATATAGAAGTACACACATTGCGTCGACTTGCTTTCCCAGTGTGGCGTTATGGCGACCGCGTGTTCAGGCTCATTCTTCAGGCCATTTGTCGCCGATACTCCTTGTCGGAAAGCCCGAGATCAATGCTATGGCCTTGTGACATTCCAAGACGACCTTCATGGAATCACTTCGCAACGTCATTGCCATGCAGGAGCATTTTCAGTGGCGAGTCACCGAACCTCACGGGAGCCGCCAACCAGTAACGCAGCCGCGAGTATTGGGCAGCGATTAAATGACATTTCGTATTCCGGCTTCACATCTCGTTCGAGGCATGGCGTAGCGCTGCAACCTGGGCCCCGCTTTAGGTCAAGGGACGATCGACATGAGGAGGTCGGCAGGAGGCGACTGGTGGGAGCCGCCAGTAGCAGTGGTGGCACCGGTGTTGGCGGAGATGACGCTGACGTCAGCGATGAGTCGGATGTAAGTGGGGTGATCTGACGTGGCGACAGAATTGGTAGCCTCCGCAAGTAACCACTTTGGCCTCACAACCGCCCCGTGTCTTCCCAATCCCGCCACTTCCATCCATCCCCGTTGTATTTTCCAACAGCTGAATCGAACTTTCTCTGCCTCTCACCATCGCCCCGCCATTTCACAACCCCCTCTACCTTCCTTTCCTCCTCCTCCTCCTCCTCTCCCTCCGCCCCCACCCCCCTTTCCCCTCCCCCCTCCACGTTCCTCTCCCCCCAATCCTCTTCCCCGTGTACCGCGTGTGAACCAGCCTGAGGCCGTGGCTCTCACCATGAGCCGGCTGGAGCGAGAGCTCGACGCAGCTGTGCAAGCAGAGGATTACGTCGCTGCCGCTGGGCTCAGGGATAGGCTCAGGTGAAAACAGCGAAGGATAGAGGTTTCATTTGCAGCTGCGTTCAGATATTACCAACATTGGTCAAGGTGGTGAAGCAGATTGCAGTAGTCAGTCAGGCGACTGGGCTGATTTAGAATACTCGAACAGGTAAAAACAACACCAGCTCAGGGGCAAGCACAGGTGCATCTGATCAGGTTCCAAATACCCCCTTGCGATCCATCCCCACCCGTCTCCCCATTCCCATTGCGCATTTGCTGTCCTCTTTTTTTCGGGCACCAGGCGCCTTCAGTCAGACAACGAGGCGGCAGTGATTGCAGCCAACGCTCTCTTCTACCGGGCCTTCGGTGCCGCTGACCTCAGGCTCATGCGCCGCGTGTGGGCGAGAGGGGAGCATGTGCAGTGCATACACCCTGGAGCAAACACGATCTCTGGATACGATATGGTGAGATGTGGTGTGCTGGGTTGATGCAACAGTGCACGCTCACGGGGGTTAGAATAGTGGCCATGGTCAATACAGGTGATCCTTTCAGTTCCGATCCGTCGTCACCTCTTTATGTCGTCCCCATACACATTGCTCCCTCATAGCCTTTCATGTCGCCTTTTTCTAGCTCCCTCTTTTGATTCTCCCTCCACTACCCCTCGGCCTCCACCACAGGTGCTCAACAGCTGGGAGCTTATATTTGATGGGATGAACCGCCAGCTCAGCATCACACTGGAGGACGTGGCGTGCCATGTGCGCGGCAGCATGGCAGTGGTGACCTGTGTTGAGGTTATCAAGTCAGCAGGCTCCGCTGGCAGGTGGGTACACCATGAGGGTCTTGAGCCATTATGTTTTTACTCCCGACACATGGGACAACGCCGTTAAGCTGGCTCAAGATTATTGCATGCATTTCTCAAGTTACCGTATATAACCTCCCACCCGTTGTTATTCCACCTTTTTGCCTCTCAGAGTGGTGGCAACAAACGTGTTCGAAAAGATAGGCAGTCAGTGGCTCATGTGCTGCCACCAGGGGAGTCCAGCCCCACCAACAGGCAGGAAGATGGGGTTTTAAGAGTGCCTCTGGTGCAACACGCAGTATGCCTGCATCCTGCATTCAGAATTCAACAAGTCAGTGGAAAGGACTGGGTGGGATGCATTCGTGTTATATTTGCCTACTACCGAAACGTAAGAGAAAACCCAATTCTTGTCTTGGAGCTTGGACCACAATGTGGGCTTCCAATGCCCCCATTCAACTTTGTATTCCCTGTAATGACACCTCCTTGATGTTGATAAGTACAGTTTGAGCAAGGATGGACGGAAACCTGTTGTCAATTCTGATCCACAGATATTGAGGCCTGGATAGGTAACGGTGAAAAGTCAGGAGCAGCATCCACATGCGGTCGCACGATAGCACTCATTGTCAACAAACTATAGCTATGGCAACAGAATGCTCCCAGCAATCTCCTGCCTCAGTAAGCAGTGAAGAGTATGCCCGGGTCCGTTGTATACACTCCCATGCTGCTCCATACCCTGAATTTGCCAGAGAGATGTCAAATTTGTGAATGTGCCTGCAGTAGCTGTTCCTACTCTGGTCACATCTTCTAACTAGGAACAGATCCCCATTAAGGGCTACACATGCGTATCCCCTGCTCTGGTAGCCATAACATGCTTTGTGCTGGCACGCCAACCTGTGCTCAGCTCCTCTGATAGGCCGAAGGGAAGGTGGAGAGGAAGGTGAGTTCAACGATAGGTTGGATTGCGAGGGAACGAACAAGTCATGAGGGGCAGGTGGCTGAACGCTTCCTTGACCCTGCCTCCATAGCTTCCACTCATCTGTGCTAGGGTCATACACCAGCGGGAAATTGAAGCACACCCACCCTCTTGCATCCCACCCCCCTCCTCCTCCCGCTTGACCTTCTGCTTCCTGACATTCATCAGGTTCAGCTGCTGCGCCACCGATCACACAGAGCCTGTTGTGGAGCACAGCTGTCTGGAAACCAGTTCGGGGAACAGGCAAACTAGCAGCTTCTCTCCACTCCAAGTTGATACTGCGTTGAGCCTGTCTGGGATTAAGGTTGGTGCATTGACTGCTACGGCTGCTGGATGGTATGATGGTGCTGCTGCTGCTGCTGCTGCTGCTACTAAAAACCGGAATCTCGCAAACGAAAAGCGTGTAGTTGGGGTCTGTGTCGTCTAACGGGGATGAACAACCCCCAAGAACGTACAGTCGGTTCCCAATAACCTGTGCGTGTGCTCCTTGTCTGGGTGCTGGCAGACTTGATGCTTGAAGCCAGCAGTTTTGTCTCAAATCGAACACTTCAATCGAGGAAAGCACCTCATACGTGTTGGTAACACCTCCGATGACGAAAATCGCGTCAGAAGAAGCGCAGCACGCGAATTTGCTGCGTGGAGTTTTGAGTGGCGGAAGCGACCTTGATGTGTTTGTCAGTGGGTTATAAGAGTCAACTGAAGCAGAGAATGTCAAGTCAATCATCATGGCGGTGTTGTCTATGGTCTGTCCTCCCATAACGTAGATCGTATGACCGACTGAAGTCACTCCGAAATATTGGCGGGACGGGGGAAGACCGTTGAATGAACATGGTAGTCTCTGCCATGTACGAAGAACGAATTACAACAGGCCAGCACGGAAGGAAAGAAAACCTTCACCTTAATAATGTGAAACAAGAACGGCTTGAGAAACAAACACTCGCGACGAGGTCGTGTATGCGACAAGCACGAAAAAATGTTAAAAATAAATATAGGAGCGGACTACCAACCTGGCACTTGGTGGTGAGCGAGTCGAACAGCTTGCAGAGCAATCCTCCCTCAATTCGCCAAGTCAAAGTCACCAACCACTCTGTCGCTCTCCCGAGCTGACGTCTGAGATCCAGAAAGCTATCTGACGACAGCAGCTTCCTCCATTTTCCGCAAACCCCTCGGAGTCGCAGGCATCCAGGGTCTGATTCAGAGGAAACGCGAGCTAAGCATTGAAGTAAGAGCTCGTCGGGAAGGGATTGTAAGGGAAAGGCTGACCCTTCGCCGGAACTTTGCGCATCCATCTCTACGCGGCATCGAGAATCCAGAAAGGGAGCCAACGAAGCCGATGCCTTACTACTGTTATAACTTCGATTTACCACGCTCTTCAGCATTGGCCCTGAAAAAACATCAACATGTCCCTCGCTCAGCAGCCTTATTCACACAGACAAAAGGACGAGGAGAAACCGTGTGCACCTACTCACCTTCTGTGTGTTGAGTCTGCTAACGGCTAGGTCGCGTGAAATCGCTCGTTGCTGCTATTCGGACAGGCGGCTTGTGAGAAGGATTTGCTGCTGCTCTTTTTCGTCCTCCATGGTTCAGGCAAACCTCACAAGACCGCATGCTCGAAGCTTTTTGCAGGAACAAACCTCGATGAAACTGCAACCACAAAGATCATCGAGGGCGCGGGTCTTGCCACCTGTTTATCTGACATTGTTCTACGGCTGCGATCGATGACCGGACAATGAAACGAATAATATCCGCTATGAAGAGGCTCGATAAGAGTTAGACTGAATTATTCCAGCTTGCAATCTCAACTCATCCTCGCCAAATGAGGAGCCCTAACCTAAACCATTCCTGGTTCTGCCTGATACGGTACGGGTACGTTGTACCATCTACTCTCTCAAATCCAACACCCCTCCACCACCAATGCAACCACCAATCACTCCTAAATATTTCTCTACAACAATTCTTGGTTATTTTTCATACAATGTGCCATCTAGTCTCTAGTATCTGACCCCCCTCCACCTCCACTGCTACCACCAGCCACATCACCACCACTGCTATCCAGACCAACTTGGGAACCTGGCATGGGCGCAGAACAGGTGCGGATATGCGTCTTCAGCCTCGGAAGGTTCGGTTGCACGCTGCGGCACCGGTGGCACCGAAGCTCGTGCCGAAGCAGATGCCGCGCCTCTTTCTCCAAGGCTCCTACAAGCTCATCGGAAGCACCCAATCTTGACCGTGTTCGTGCTGCAACATCACTACCTGCTACAGCACCACCAGCTACAGCTGTTTGAGATTCCACACCCACGATCCTCTCTCCACTCTTACCCTCTCTATCACCTGCTATGGCCAGCCCACCCAATGCCTCAGCTGCTGCTATGGCTGCACCCCCTGCTACAGCTTCACCACTCCGTTTCCCCCCTCCTGCCTCTGGAGCAACGGCGGGAGCCCTGGGGGAGGTTTCACCCGAGCCTGGAAAGAGATTCTGTCCGGCTACAGATGAGGAGATGTGGGTGGACGGCAGAGCCGGCAGCACATGGCCGTGCTGCTCTATTTGGGAAATCACCTGACGGGTATCGGGAAGTGAAGATTGCCAAGGACGTTTTCGGGAACAAAGAAGGAGAAATAATCAACAGCTGACAAAAGTATACACAGGCGGTGTGGAGGAAAGAAGGCTACACAGCAAGGTGGAGGTGTCGAAAGAACTAACATGTGCGCCCCAAGGTATGGTAACCTTACAGCAGACTCACCTAAAAGGGCAACCGTTTGCTGGCAATCTACATGAAGGAAATACACCAAGAGATTTTCACCTGGGAATATTCACCTGACGAATATTCACCTGAAGAATATTCACCTGAAGGGCATCCCGGAAGAAGGGAGAGGCGAAGGAGTTCCAATGCTTCTTGTGCTTCAGGTGGGGCGAGTCCAGATCCTGGCTTATGGCGTGCAGATGCAGCTGACGCATGGACGGCACCTGAGACACATGGATGGATGTGCAATATGAATACGAATGACCAAGGCAGCCCAGGCGTGGGCTGGCTGGCTGTGCATGCCGAAATTACCCCTTAACGATCACCAGGGTGACAGAACATGACGCTTCGCCTGGTGTGGGCTGACATGGTATGAAGTGAAGGTTCACCTGGTGGAAGCCGAATCGGAAGCGCAATGGCTGAGGAGGCGACGACCCCGCTGTTGTCACACCTGGCCCTGGGCCCCTTGTTATAGTCACACCGTGCCCTCCCTTCCAAGCCACATCCTTCTCCCTCGCAAGCTCGCCTTCACTGCCTGGGCCTTCCCCTGGCCGATCACCTGAAGCAGCACCTGACACCCCTGGAAGCACAGCATCAGGTGATTTTTCAGGTGGCTTCTGTGGCAAGTTCTCTTGTTGTGGTGCAGCGCGAGAGGCAGCAGTGGGGTTGGGCGCATTGCCGGATCCAAGAGTGGGGTTGGAGGAGGAGGAGGGTGAGATGGAGTGTGCCGCCCAGAGCTGCCCCGCTGCCAGCATGTGGCGCAGCAGAGGCAGATCTGCTGCTGTGGCATCGATGATGCGATCCACACCGTCCGTTCGTGCGATCACCAGCAGATGGTGTCGGGCCTAGCGTGGAGTGAGAGGTAAGACGGATAAGGATGGAGGGACAAAATCAGCCCACACCCTGACCTTTCAAACCTTAAACCCCAAATGTAGCAATTCAAAAGCAATAATTTCTCATCCAAGATAGGAATAACGTTGGCAGCTGAGCTGAGGGTGATGGGGAGAGGACTGACCAATCCACTTCTCACGAAGGGCCACCACAGAGGCATCAGCAAACAAATTGACTTTTGAGTCGACTCAAAAGTCGAAAGCCATCTCACCTTGGGGTACTTATCGCGGATGACCACCACAGAGGCATCAGCAAACAGCACCACATCGCCGTGCCTCTCAGGCCGCATTGCAATGTCCCTCAGCGCGTGCTTCCAGGAACCTTCCGCCCCACCATGCCCCTCCTTGCGTTTGCCGCCTCCCCCTCCCCCGCCTCCTCCCCCTCCTCCGCTCCCTGCTCCTCCTGCGCTCCCCCCTCCCCCTTGCATGTCACCTGCCCTTCCTCCCCCCCCTGCCCCCCCCACTCCACCGTCACCACCACCGACCCCACCCCCCCCACCCCCACCAACACCCCCTCCTTCTGCTCCCCCTCCCCCTCCCCCTCCCCCTCCCCTTTCTTCCCCTCCTCCACCACCGGCATTTCCTCTTTCTTCTCCTCCCGCCTCACCCCCTCTCACCCCCCTCCCCTCACTCCTCCTCCACCACTGCATCCCGCCTCCAGTGCCCCTCTCTCCCCTCACCCCCTCACCACCCCCCACTCTCTCTGTCCCTCCAACACCCTCCCCACCTTCCCCCCCACCTCCCCCCTGCTCCAACCCCCTTCGCTGGAGAAGCATCCCTCCCCCATCCCCCCCATCTCCGCCCTTCCCAATCCTCCCTTCTCGCCTCTCTTCTCTCCCCACCTCTCGTCCCTCTTCCTCCGCCACTCTATCAAGATTCGGTCGGAATGCTGCCCTTCCCCGGACCACCCAACCCCCCATCGCCTGTTCCCCTGCCCCCCCCACAGAGCCCAACCGCGCCTCTCCTGCTGTCTGCCGGCCTGCGCTGCCCGTCCGGTCCACCTCTCCAGGACCACGGGGAAGGGGAGGGCGGGGAGGAGCTGGTGCGGAGGGTGGGCGCAAAAATGCTGCTGTCTCAATCTCCCTGCCCGCCCCAGCCTGGGCCCTAACTTGAGCTCCAGCTTCGGCCCGAGCCTCAGCCAGAGCTTCGGTCCCAGCATAAGCCCGAGCCTGCGCCTCAGCCTGAGCTCTAGTGGGCGGGCGGGAGAGAGATGTTGTTCCTGAGGCGGGTCTTGGTGGTGCAGTGGAGTGGCCTGTTGCAGATAATGGCACCTGAGCATCTGCTAGTGGCACCTGGCGCTCTGTTGTGACCACCTGGGGGTCCACAGAGGGCACCTGAGCCGCTGGAGGGGAATCAGCAGCACTTGGAACATCTTCCGCTGCTGCTGCTGGTGCCACAAGTGATGCCATATCCTCTCTGCCCATAAGATGAACACCTCCCTCTGCCTCCTCTCCCCCATAAGCATCGGCAGCATCATCAACCCTCTCATCCATCCCCATCTCACGCATCGCCCCCATTTCTCGCCCAGTCAACTCCTCAGCACCCCTTCGAACTCCCAACTCACCACCATCACCTTCCCTTCGCCTCGCTTCCCTCTCTACACCATCACTACGCCCTTCCCTCCTCATACTCCCTCTACCGTACGACCCACCAGCTCCCCAGCCTTCACTCGTAGCACCTGTCGCCACAGCAGCCGCCGCAGCAGCTGCTGAACTGTCGCCTCGCGACCAAAACCCTCTCTCGCCTCCCGCTGACGTGGAATCAGCTCTGGCTGACGTGGAGTCAGCCCCAGCTGAGGTGGAAGCGGTGCCAGTGTCACTGCTAGGGGTAGTAGAGGTGGTGAAAGACATAACAGTGGTTGGGGAGGGGGCTTGGGCTACCATGGCCCCTTCTGGCCTGCCTGCAGGGTCAAAGGCTTCCTTCCCTGCTGCTTCTGCCACTGCTCGTGCTAGCGCTGCTGCTCGTGCGTCTAACTCTGCTCTTGCCTCCGCTGCTGTTGCCCCTCTCTCTGCTGCGGCCGCTGCTTTCAACTGCACAGCTGCAGCTGCACGGGCAGCAGCAGCTGTGCTGCCGCCACCACCACCATCACCACCATCCCCTGTAGGCATGCGAATCTCTTGCACCATCTGAGCCGTTGGATCAGCAGCCTCAGCCAGCATCCACGGCCAGGGCGGGTTACTGGTACTGTGGATCCACGCTATGCCTCTGCCTCTCCCCCTGGGGTGCCCCCTGTCCCATGCTGCCTTAGTTGCTGCACCTACTGCCGCTGTGCCTGCTGCTGCTGTGCCTGCCGTTGCTGCATTTACTGCTGCTGCGCTTGATGCTGCTACACCTGGTACTTCTGTGCCTGCTGCTCCAGCTGCAGCTGCTACTGCTGCAACGGCCGCTGGTGCAGCTGCCCTTGGTGCGTCTGGTGCTGCTGTTGCTGGTAATGCCGCAGCTGCAAGCTCTTCTGCTGGAGGAGTGAATAAGACAGTGGTGGCAACATGGGCAATGGTGGGAGGAAGAGCGGCCACCGTGCCGATTCCAATTGTCATTTCCGCATCCCGTGCGTGCCGCTTAGCTTCGGGGAGGACGTCTGAAGCAGCCTCTGCATTAACCCTTACCTGGTGATCAGCCCTTCTCTTCCTGCCCCTCCCCATCAGCACCGCAAATGCATCTCGTGCAGCTTCACCCTTCCCCACGCCTGAATCCTCCCTGCCTTGCTGCTGCTGTTGCTGCTGGTGCTGCTGCTCCCTCGCTTCCCCTCCCAGATTCTCCCGTCCTCCCGTTCTCCTTTCTCCTCCAAGCCCTTGCCCCCCTCGCTTCTCATCATCCATCTCTTTCCCTTCAAGCTCCCTAATCCCCTCGCCCTCCCTCTCACCTCCCCCCTCCTCGTCCCTTCTCTTACTCCCCGCTCCCACTGCTCTCCTCTCGTCGACCTCGTCCCTCTCACCCTCACCCTCACGAGCTTTCCTCTTCCCCTTTCCAGAATCACCCCCAGCACCTCCATCTCTTCTCCTCATCCCCACTCCGCCACCTACCCCATCCTCCCACGACCCACCATTGTCTCTCTCCTCCCTTCCCCTCTCTCCTCCCACAGACTCTCTTACCTTCGTCCCTGCAAGCCCATCACGTGCCTCCTCCACCCACCTCCTCCCTTCTCCCCTCATCCCACCCTCAGCTGCAACCAATACCTCTTTCCCAACCCGACCTTCCCCCACAACCCCCCAACCTCCTCGCCCTTCCACTCCCCCTTCCATCCCTCTCTCCCCATCTCCACCCTGCTCCCTCGCCCTCACTTTCCCCACTCCCTCCTCCCCTCCATCCGCCCTCTCCGCGCGCCCCTCCTCTCCCCCCTTGGCCAGCAGGCGGAACTCTCTAAAGAGCGCCCCATACGCGGACCTGAGCAGCCTCTCGCCCTCGTTATAGTCACCATCCAGACAGTTCGGGCGACGAGGATTCATATTGGGTCCCACCACGTGCACCACGTGCCTTACCCCCTCACGGGCTCTTAGAGGGGAGGAGAGGGGCAGGGGCGCGGAGAGAACAGAGCCTGGAGAGAGGAGGAGAGGATGGGGCTGGGGAGGAGGGGAGAGGTGCGTTTCCCCACTTGGTTTCTGCTGAGTCAGGTATTGCCCATGCCCCTGATGCTCCCCATGCTGCTGCTGCGTCTGCTGCTCCTGCTGTTGCTGCTGCCCAACACGATCCTGCTTCTCCTGTGTCGCTGCCTGCTGCTGCTGCTGGGTCTCATTCTGTTGCCTCTGCTGCCTCTGCTGCTGCTGCTGCTGCTGCTGCTGCTGCTGCTGCTGCCACTTCCGCCGTGTAGCCTCAATGAGGCTGGGGCCGGCAGCACTGTGGATGGCTGCATTCACTCCACCCCCACCCGGTAACAGACGGCTGCACGCACACACAGAGCACACACACACACACACACACACACACACACACACACACACACACACACCCACACACACACCCACGCACAGCACAGCACAGCACAGCCAAGAGAGGAAGCACAGTACAGTATATCATTCAGTACAGAGTACTGCACGGTGCACAATGGGCATATAATGGACGCCTATGATAATGTGTATAATCAAAGTCTCAGGGTATGAGACGCATGCCAAATAAGTACCACGTGTTACTGTACGTTCTGATGCATGGTGGAAGCAGCATTCCATGCGATGCCACATCAGCCTACCAGTTGGCCGAGTTTGCGATGACGTGGCATTCAATGCCGCCATCCGACCTCATCTTGGTGATATCCCCGGCATGCAGAATGAATCTGCCACGTGTGCTGTCATCCCACGTGTCCTTGTCACCACCTCTGCCCGCCCTCCTTCCCTCTCTACCAACTTCTCCAGCAGCAGTGCCATCACACACATCTCCAGCCCCTGTACCAGTAGCGCCCCTGCCACCACCTGCAGCAGCAGCAACAGGAGGAGCAGCGGTGGCGGCCACAGCTGCAGTGACAGCACCAAGAGTGACAGCTGCTGCTGCAGGAGCAGCACCTTCAGCTCGGCCCTCTCTTGGTCCTTCCCTAGCCACATGCCCTCGCCCCTCTTCCTCCCTCTCACCCCTCCCCCCACCTTCGGCTCCTCCCTCCCGCCCAGGTTCAATGAACCGTCTCGCCTTGTCTTTCTCTCCACCATCCGCTCCTCGCCTAAGCCGTCCAGATTCAACGAACGGCAGCCCCCTCTGGCGAGCCAAGCGCTTCACTCGCCTCAGCATGTCAGAGGAGGGCGAGAGATCCACCAATACCACGTCCAGGATTGGACAGCGCTCAAGCGTCTCTTGCTTCGGCGGGGAGTCAGACACTGTAGACGATGTGTTGCCGCCTGCCGGCAATCTTTGTCTGCTCTCGGGTGCTCTGGGCGGTGATGCTTGTCTCGTTTCTCCAGGTGCTGAGGGTCTTTCTTTAGCTGCTGCTGCAGGCTGTTTGTGTCTGGTACTGGCACCGTTATTATCACCTCCGTTTCCGTTTCCGTTTCCGTTCACGCTACAGCTGCCCATTCCACTGACACCGTTACTGTCACCGTTCCCATTGCCGTTCCCCCCTCGCCTCAGTGCATCCCTTACCGCAGCAGCAGCAGCAGCAGCAGCAGCACTAGCATCAACATTAGTGCCAGCAACTGCACCACCACCACCATCGTCAGCAGCAGTGGCAGCACCAGTACCACTTATAACCATCCCTTCAAACCTGCTCCCTTCCCTCTCCCCTTCCTCGACACCACCCACACCACCCTCACAGTCCCCACCACCCTCACGACCCTCCGCACCCACCCTGCCCTCGCCCGCACTCCTGGCAGTGGTGCTGCCGTGGCTGCTGCCCCCGTTGCGCCAGAGGAACTCAGTGACGCAGTCAAGCACCACTGCAGCCGCCCTCTCCCTGTCAAACTTGAAGTCAGCCGTTGAGATGGACGGAAACGCCAGCACCCACCGTCCTGCTGCCTCCCGCTGCTGCGCTTGCTGTTGCTGCTGCTGTGGCGGTGGCTGCGGTGGCTGCTGCTGCTCCTCCTCGTCTATCTCATCGTCCTGCTCCTCTCCCTTGTTTCCATCCACCTTTCGGTGATCTCTGCGCTCCTCCCTCTGCTGATCGTGCTCGTCGCCCTTGCCTCCCCCCTCCCCTCCTCTTTGTCGACCCTCGTTCTTCTCGGCCCCTTCATTAGCGGCAGCAGCAATCTGCTCACACCCGTCTTGCCTCAGCCCAAACGAGCTCTCCAGGTTCCCATGTGCCTGCACATGTCGCCATTCACCCACCTCTCCTCGGCCCTTCCCCCGCCCATCCACGCAACCATCCCCCCGCCCATCCACGAGCCTTTCCCCCTGCGCATCCACGAGGGCCTCTCCCCGCCCATTCACGATGCCTGCACCCTAGAAGCAGCGGTAGCACGTGGGGCAGTGAGAGAGGGAGACGGTGGGGGCGAGGGGCGAGGGTGAGAGAGTGAGAGCGGAGCACTCGTGGAAGAAAAGCAGCACACATGGTATCTTCTCGACAAAAGCGCTTTATGACTTGTCACCGGAGCAAGCTTTTGCCGAGATACCTCGAAAAGAAGAACAGGGACAAAGATTGGAGTCTGGGGTTGGAGGTGGAAATTAAAACGAGGGATGGAAGAGTGAGAGGAACGGTGACAGTGGAAAGGGAATGTCCTCCCACCTGCGTTTCGCTCGCTATCCGTGTGCACTCGTCTTCTCTTCCACCATCGCTCCATTTCACACTTCTCCTGCTCCTGCTGCTTCTCCTGCTGTTGCTGCCACTGCTGCCGCTGCTGCCGCAGCCTCTGTTCTTCAATCTGCTGCTTCCGCTGCTCCTCCTTCTCGCTCTGTTCTGCTTCTGTCGTCGCTTCCCCATGTTTCTCGCATCTCCATCCATCAACCTCATCTCTCCTCCCTCCGCTGTTGCCCATCCCCGCATCCCCGTTAATAGCAGCTTCCTGTTGCGGTTTGGCACGGAAAAACCGCCTCACATCATACACTCCAGCCTGTGAAGTACTATGATCGCCTACTCTACTTGTGCCCACATTCCTACCTTCCGTTGCTCTGCTTGCCACTGCTTCTGCTGCAGGCACAGCAGCAGCTACAGCAGCAGTCACAGAAGCAGCTACAGAGGCACCTGACTCTACTGCTCCCACGCCTACGTCTACCCTACCAGCCGCACCTTGACTACGACCAAACGACATGGTTCGAACTTGCTTCTCCTCCTCTTCTTCTCGGTTTCTCAGTACTTTTTGCTGCTCTCCCTCCCCTCCTGCTCCCTCTTTCGCCCGTCTCTCCCTATCCCCATCGCCCTCCCTTTCTCCCCTTCTCTCTACCGCCCTCCCATTTCCCTCCCCATCCCACTTCTTCTCACCCCTCCACACTAAATTCCTCCCCTTCCCGTCCCCATACCATCCTCTCTCTCCCCCTCTCTCCGCCACATTCTTCCCCCCTTCCCCACCCCCCTCCACATCCCCCTCCCCCTCCCCCTGCCTCTCCCCTCGCCCCCTCGTTCCCAACGCGGCTGGTCGCTCCTGGGTTCCTGGCGTGGCAGCAGTAGAAAAGGGAGGATCAGATCCTAACACACGCGGAGCACCTACAGCAGCACGGAGTGGAGCAGAAGCAGCAGCAGCAGAGAGAGGAGCAGTAGCAGTAGCAGCACGGCTACACAGTACACTGTGGGAGGGTGTGTCTGTGCTCACCCGCTCTCTCTCTGCACGCCCTTGCCACCATACACGCCCTGGGCCCTCCCGACCTCCCTGCCTCGCTCCCTCTGCTCCCTCTTCTCCCTGTCCCTGCGCTTGCGCATCTTCCCCCTCTCTCCAGTGCCCCAGCTGCATCTCCCGTACCCGCGCGTCTAGCTCCTCTCCCCCGTGCCTCTGCTGCATTGCTTGCACCTCCAGGCTTCCTCCTCCCGCCCTTTGGAGCCCCACTACGCCAGGACCCTCAGCACCACCGCCACCACTGGCAGCGGCAAAAGCGGAGGGGCGGAGGGCGCGGTAGAAGGAGAGCGCCTGGTCCACGTGGGCGTCGGTGCGGCACACGGTGACGCGCTGAAAGCCCTCCACCGCTGCAGGGGGCTCGCGCATCTTCATCTGATGCCGTATGATGCTCGCAGCCCGGGGGCCCTGCGGGGTGAGAGGCAGAGAGGGGTGCGAGTTGAGGCCTTACAAGCACACGTCTGCTCTCGGTCAACTTTACTCACTCCGCCCGCCCCCGTGGTTGACGCGGTTAACCCCTTGCTTCCAATGGCGTGCGACTGCACGTTTGAGTCGACTCAGAAATCCCTCTCACCTGCACGCCGCCCTCGTGGTTGACTCGGTTGACCGCGCGCTGCACGACGAGCGCCACGGGGAGCTCAAACACGAGCACGTGCGACTGCACGTTGCAGTTGCGCGCGAGCGCGAGGAACTCGGCGCGCTGCTCCACGCTCATGTTGCAACGGTCCAGCACCACGCTCGCCCCGGACAGCAGGTGCCGCCTCACCTGCGAGAACAGAGAGCGCGAGACAAGGGGACAAGGGGGGAAGGTAGAAATAGCGTGAGAGGGAGGAACTCGGCGCGCTGCTCCACGCTCATGTTGCAGCGGTCCAGCACCACGCTCGCCCCGGACAGCAGGTGCCGCCTCACCTGCGAGGTGAGTGAAAGTTGAAGGAGGAAGAGAGTAAGAAGGAAGAGCGCGAAACAAGGGAGGGGGTTAGTACCTGGCAGGGCGTGTCCGCTCAGGTCTACCAACATCAGTGACGATGATAGGTGTGCAGCAACGGACATTCCCATGATCAGCGAGAACGTATTGGACATCCAGAGGGTTGGGAAAGTGCACGATAACCACTCACTTGCGCCAAGCACTGCTTCCGAGTGCCAGGTGTCCCTCGCGATGACGCCACGTCCTGACATCAGAAACCACATGGGGGAGAAACGTCACGGGAAGACGGGAATGGCTGTGAAATCTGCAGGACGAGCAGCTGACTCCAAAAGCACTTGGGATCTGAGGTTCATGTGAGGGACTGCAACGGAAATAGGTGCGGGCTCATGAGCCTGAATACATATGGAGACAGTCCGGGTGCGAGATTGATACGTTATGCCTGGGTTTCCCATCTCGGAACCTTCAGTGTGCGCAGATGGCATGACTCAGAGCATGTCAAATAAGCGTGGGAATCAAACTGTATCATGGCCGTTACTGTCGTAGTCAAGCGATGTGCCTGAAAGAACTTCATGTCAGACACGAAATCGTCTAAGCAGATAGAGTTTTTGTTTATTCGTGACCTAAATGACGGTTCCCTATTTCCTATAATCGAAGAGCAGCTAGAGAGGCAGACCTGGCAAACGCGCTCGTATCGTAAGGCGGCATCCGCGATCAAGAGTCCAGCAAATCTGCTTTTGCCGCTGCCCGGCGGGCCGACGAGGACCAGCAGGAACGGGAAGGGACTAAGGTTTTGGGGGAATACGGGTCGCGCCGTTGTTGCCGGGACGTTTGAAGGTACCTCGGGATTAGGCTCCATTGTACCTTGCGTTTGAGTCTGAGGATTCATGACACGCAGACTCGATCTGGTTGAGTCTGAGTTACGCAGCTCGGCTAGAGGCTAAGGGTCCACCAAGCTGAAGAAAGGAAGCAACTCCATGAGCATCTATTTAGTGAAGCTAAAGATATTCGCAACTTGTGCTTCTGCAAAATATCCGAGAAAAATCAACATTGGTGAGGTGAGGCGAGTTCACTTCTTGTCAGCGACAAAGAGAAGGCCAGCAGCAGGTAGGCACATGGCTCATGGTTCACCCCAGCTGAAGCCCAGGTGGAAGCTCAAGAGAAGCCCAGCAAACCCAGTGTGCTTCCGCACGGTGCATGCCATGCCAGGCACAAAAATCCCAAGGAGCCACAACCACAAATACAGGAGCGACTACGGCCGTTGGATCTTTCAATGGTTCTTGGAAAAGCGTCGCCACTTTACAAGGTGGCCAAAAGGTTGATCTGATCAGGCAAGGGGGCTGCAAGAGGGGCCTAGCCTAACCAAGGACCGAACCTCAGAGCCCGTGAAGGTTTGGGTTAAAATACGTGGCTCATGAAGCACTTCGATTTTGGTGGTCAGAAACAGGAGGGTCACTCTTGCAGGCTCGGGAGCGCATCCTGGCAAACTGATCCAGCCACAGATAAATTATGTGTGGCGGAGAGTGGGCTGCACCGTACGCTCCAAAGCAAACTTCCCTCCAGATAGTAGCATCGATATTGCGAGCTATGCTGACGCAATTTCTACATTCTACTCGTTATTCGTAACAGTTCTGCATAAAGTTAGGTGCTGGTGTGGTTTTTCGCAACGTATTTATGCACTCGATAACACCTGTTGATCGATTACGAAATGTAGTTTAAATTTCTAAAGGGACAATACTATCGACTAGTATATACCCTAGGAACGAAAATATGGAAGTGTAGGATATCGATCTCCGTACTTCTCGCATACTAGACGAGCGCCCTACCATCTGGTCTACATCCACTTGAATATTTGGCAGTTTTAACATATTTTATATGTAAACAACTTGATAGTGACCTCCACCATCTCCACACTTTCCTCCTTTCAGTCTCCGACTCCCCTTCACAGCTCAGCTGTATCCCGTTTTGTCTCACTTCAGACTTCGGTAATCACACACCTCACTTACAATGGCTATCTCTTTCGGTGATCTCTCCACCCCTGATGGTCTGAAGCAGCTTGACGAGTACCTCCTCACCCGCAGCTACATCTCGGGGTACGGATTCCTTCAGGGGTTCAGGGTTTGCATCGTTGAGACCGTCGACGCTGGATCTAGTCGCGTTTCCGCGTTTCCCGCCCCATTTCACTACACGCCGCTTTTCATTGCATCCCGCTCTCCCCTCGTCCTTGCCACTTTCATCTTGCTGCTACTTTCCCCAATTGTGTTGTGCTCCGCCTTTCCTGTTTCGATCTCTTGCCTCGCAGCTTCCAGGCGTCGCGCGATGACCTCACGGTCTACAGCGCGCTGAAGACGTTCCCAAAGGGCTACACCAACGCGGCGCGGTGGTACACCCACATCAAGGCGCTGCTCGGTGCTAAGTGAGTCATTCTTTGAGTTCTTATCGCAGGGTTTTTTTATGCCGTAATAAACTACTTATCTGAAAAGCCGATATTCTTATGTCTTGACTTAACCTGAGTTGGGCATGTCATCGATGTTTGTCGTACTTCTATCCCTGATCTGTGATCACTAACTCCACACCCTATGTCCGCGGCGATGCCTCATCGTTGGTCTCTGGGGCGCCTCCCTGACGATGTTATCGTATCGTCGCGTCGTTTGATGTCATTTCGTTCCGCGTCTTGTCTTCCCTCTGCCCGCTGTCTACTTTCGATCCTCCTGTTCCCAGCTTCGCCGGCCCCGGCGTGGGTGTGGTGATCGGCGGTGCTGCTCCTGCCGCCGCTGCTCCCACTGCAGCTGTCGCCACTCCTCCCGCTGCCGAGGCCAAGCCCGCTGAGGTACGCTGACTATCAGAGGTGCGCGGCTGGTGCTCTGACGTGGATCTGGTTGATACCCTAATGCATATCAGGGTTAGGCTGTTGAGTGACTGACGTATGATGAACCAACGCTGTCCTTATTCTTGACCGTGCGCGAGAGTGTTGAGTGCATGTGTTGTAAAGGGGACCGCAGAGCGAGTGACAGCATGCCGCATGCATCGTGCAGTGTGCTATTAATTGACGTGCTGCCGCCGACGCTTAAAGCTTAGTTCCGGCTTGGAGCCGGCAGTTTCCGCACCAGACAATCTTAAAACCTCGCAGCGAGCACGTGATAGTGCCACATCCAAAACTCAGATCTTGCAGTCCCACCATGCATTGTTGCGATCTCGCATCCTGCTTTTTTTTTCCTTATTTGGGAAGGCAATCTAGATTAGTGAACCCTCCCCCACCTCCCAAACACCCCCGTGCTCATGCCCGTGGCCGTGCGATGGCAGGACGACGACGACGACGATCTGGATCTGTTCGGCGAGGCCACGGAGGAGGAGAAGGCCGCGGCGGCCGAGCGTGAGGCGAAGGCGGCCGCTTCGGGCAAGAAGAAGGAGAGTGAGTATCCGCCTGACCGCCTGCCTAAACTATGCTACCTGAATCTCGACATGGTTTTCCGCCTGTGGCTGTACCGTTGGGGCGATGCTAACTGTCTTGAAGCTGAACTGACGTGGTGTGCGTGTTGCGTGTGTGGCAGGCGGCAAGTCGTCGGTGCTGCTGGACGTGAAGCCGTGGGACGACGAGACGGACATGGCCAAGCTGGAGGCGGCCGTGCGCAAGGTGCAGATGGACGGCCTGCTCTGGGGCGCCTGTGAGTACCCTACCTATTTTCCTCTATTTCTCACCTTCTGCATGCACTGAAATTTTTTTGGGGATTGAACCCTGGACAATTGAGAGGCTTGGTGGGTAGTAAGGGTTTAGGTCGGATGGTGTGGCTTTGTGAGGTCCTCTGCAGCATGTGCTTTGATAGCGTTTTGACCTGGATAGCTGCTCATCTGCACAACTCTTTAACCCTTGCAATGTTTTGTCTGCTAAATTGCTTTTCTGCTATGCTGCGCAGCCAAGCTGGTCCCCGTTGGGTACGGCATCAAGAAGATGACGATCATGATGACCATTGTGGACGACCTTGTGTCGCTGGATGAGCTGATTGAGGACCACCTGCAGCAGGGCGAGGCTGCTGAGTACATCCAGAGCTGCGACATCGTGGCCTTCAACAAGATCTAAGGTGAAGTTCAAGTCCCGCATTGGTTGGGTTGAAAATGCTTGTGTTGTGGTTGTCCAGGCTTCTCACGATGCTTCCTATCTTTGCTTTCAGGAAGGAGGTTTCTATCATAAGTCGAAGGCATGTCCTTTCTAGTAGGGCGTGTTGTGTGGTCTCTGTAGTATCTTGCAATTTTGAATGGATCAATGAAATCATGCTGTTCCTCCTGCATCTTACTGGGAATGGAAACGTGATGATTACTTCGCTTTTGTCAAATCTATCTATGATGTGTAACAGTGTAGAAATGAGGAAGATGATGAACCATACCCACGTCCTTGTATTTTGATTGCCAGCCAGTCAGACCAGCAGCAATTGAATTCTCCCCTGACCCGTTTCGGCTAGCCCTGCCGCACCTACGTCAAACCTCTCTCCCTCCTTGCCATTGTCAGTCGGTATGGCTCGTAGCTCCCGAAGCAGCCAGCGCGAGCCAGTAGTTCCCACATTCGTCAGGCTCGAGGTATCGTTAAATCCATCTGATCCGTTGGAGTCTCCGTCCGACTCATCTAGCCTACTTCACCAATCGCAGGTCTGTACGTCTGCTCTGGCGGTCTCCCCTCCGAACCTGACAATCCACATTTATCCGCGAGAAAGCATCGCGGTATGACTGAGTGTAGGTGACAGAACAGATCGGAACGGAATCCGTCGTTTGCCCGTGTCAGCGAGAAGGCACCTGAGGCAGGGAGGGACAGGCATAGTTGATTGAGAGGCAAAGCGCGTTTTGCTGTCAATCGTCTCCTGTGGTCTCCCCGCTTACGTCTTCGAGGCGAATCCCATTGTCTGATTTAGGGCAACGAAACTACTAGCCTGAAGTAAAATAGGCGTCTGGAACTCTAGGCTGTACTATGTACTTTAATGCGAAGGCGTCCGGAACTAGGCGGTAGCAGCTTGTGGAGGACCTGTTTCGAGAATTTGCAGCTACTGTTCTGCGTAGTAACTATTGCACATTCTAGGTGAAACAGATTCGCATTAGTTGACCGCAGAATGGGTTACGGTGTGCCTATAGGTGACTGGACGACGTCATGCACGGATTGCCACGAAGACTGTGCAACCAGTAGGTCCTTGTACACTTTCTGGAGTTATCGTGTCGTCGGTGTTCTTCCCCAGCGTGGTTTCTGATTACGGTGACGTATTTCGTTCAACAGGTCTTTCTTCTAGATAGCTTATTTAGCAGTTCGTACGTTCATGTAGCTGACAGTTTGATTTCTCCGTGACCTTGTTTATTATCGTGTGGCCAGCGTGCTGTGCGCTTTTTTGTCCGTGCGTCCTCGTGGGACGAACAACAGAAATCGTCACCGACGGCGACTCAGGTTAGATACGCTTACGATCTCCCACTATCGCTGAGTCGCATTGCATATTTTCGCATTGAACCCGAGCCACGTCATTCGCTATGTGAATGCTCAATATCTTATTCAACTGAAGTCAACCCATGATGCATTCCGTTCTCTTATTGGGTCAATATGAACAGATGCGACGACATCGTGCTGTCTATTCTTCCTCTTCCAATTAATAATGCTTGGATGCCTTTATTCTCAAGGTAAGGTGTTCCGCCTTTGTTCTCTTTTTTCCAACGACCAAGTAATCAAATGTTTCTGTCCTTCCAGTCCTCCTGGTGCCGCATTTCGTATCGCTGACTCGGTGAATCCTTTGAACTGACAGGAGTTCGGAACAAGCTACGACAGAAATACGTTTTACCTCCGCGACCCTGCGGTGACTGCTTAATGCATTGCGCTTGCTTGTGCTGCTCTATAGCTCAAGAAATCAGAGAGCTTAAGAACCGAGGATGGGACCCGAAACGAGGTACGCTATTCACACCTGGTTGTTGGGCTTGCTCCTGTATTTGACCTGAAGCCTTCATGAATCCTGTGGCTGATGAGATTCCGGAAAGTACATTCCTGTCTGCGCGTTCACGAAAGTTTCTTGGTTCTTTTCCAGGCTATGAAGAGAACATGCGGATACTTCAAGCAAGAGGCTTGCCACCTCCGCCACAGTCAATGTTGCGCTGAAGTGAGCAAAGAAACTCTCCCAGTGCAAATAGTTCAAACCAGCATGGATTCCTAGGTCGCAGGGAGTATAAGGAGCTGACACTTCTTCAACTGTTGGGAACCACGCCCTTCTCTGCTATTACCTCAGCAGACGACATCACGATTTTCGCCACTTAATGGCACGTTCAAGTATTCACCAGCAAATCTGGCATGCAAGTACATTTCTCATACGGAAACCAGCAAGTATCCATCTAGAATTATAGTGGGTGCTGGTGGTGCGTGTGAAGGCTTCTGTGACCTGTCCTGTACCAACCCCCCCTCAGCTCGCCTTCCCTCCCCTCTCCTCCCCACACCCCTCTACTCCACCCCACCTCTCCACCCTCCTCTCCCCCCTCTCCCCTTTCTGCATCTTTCCATTTGCACGCTCCACTTGCGCTTTCCTTCCTGCCCCCAATCTTGGGCAAATACCGTATGTCTGGATGCAAGGTGGTGCTATGATTGCGGTGCAACTACAACAACATATTGCCACAGTGAAGGGCAGACCTGGAGGTGCTAGTTTCTGTGGCAGGGTGGTGTAGTCTATCACCGTATGTACACAAAACTAATGGGATGGAAGTCTTGTCTTATTGCAAGAAAACTAATCTCCTTATGGATGGACAACATTTTTAACCCGACGTCTTCATCTCTAGGTGCCCGAGTCAAGGTACACCCAGACCAACCCCTGTTTATTTGCATGGCAGCCTTCACAGTATTTGACTACCTATGGGGGATGTAAGCACTGCAATTGCAACCTAGGCTTGCACCACAATTTTTTTATCTCATTTGACATTGCACATTGCATTGTGCTCAGAATTATTTGCTATGGATCCGCTCCGCTCCTGTTTATGAGTTGCCCTTCACTAAACAGAAGTTAGTTTTATTAGTATTGCCAGAATTTGTGCCTGGTAGGCTTTCTATGTGTGATTGTGCGGGTGTATCTCATGCACAGGTGCGAGTTACTCAGCAACGCGTCACCGACATGTGTAGGGTGTGGCAGGTACTGTACTACGAAAGCATTAAATCGCGGTGGCGATGTCGGTCGCTCCCCACCTGCATACTGCACGATGGCAAGCCCCGTGAATGGGTTTCGCGTCGTGCTTCACCCGAGCCAAACCGATCAAACCACGGGTGAACGATGGCATGGCAAGGGCAAACCCCTTGCCCTCCGATCTGAGGGGCCAAGATTTTTCTGAAACACTCATTGTTCTGCCCAGACCAAAGGATCCCCCGAGCTGGGCCACCGTTGCACTAGCTCCCTCCCAATCCCTGCCCGAGCCAGCCAGTCCAAGACGAACAGGCTCGTAGACATCGAGAGGCCAAGTGACCGCACCACACGAAACAATGGGGGAAAGGGTTGGCTTGGGTTGGGAGAAGAGGGGAGACGGGGGTGGTTGGGGGAGGGGGGGTGGTGGCAAAACAAAACTGCCGAGTTGGTCGCACGGAGTCCCAACCATACCCATTTGACGGTCGTAAGGAAACGGCTTTACTTGCGGCTCTTTGAGGACGCCGTTTCTTGTAGCGTTGACAGCGCGGCACTCCGAAAAGACTGCCGACAAATCAGGGCGGACCAGGAAGGACTCCTGGTAGCGAGTCGTGACTCGTTGCTCCGCCTCTCGGTTCCCATAGACAAGTGAGTCTCTATAATACTGGTGAGCACTCCCATTCTGAACAGCAATCAGCATAGAACACCTGAGCACCATCCAGTTCAGAAGTAGCCTTCCACAACGCGTTACACTTCATTCGGATCCACTAGTTGTTTCAAGGCTTGCTCGCTTTCCTAGCCCTCTGAACACACTCCGGCTCTCACCGCATCTCGCGGAATATTTTCCAAATCGAAGCAGGCGAAGCACAGTCATGGCTCGGTCAATCATTTTAGCCGTCACGCTGGTCCTCGCAGCCGTCGTCTGCCTGTCGGCCGTCAGCGTTGACGGCGCTGCACCGCCGACAAAGACGCAGCTGCGCGCCGAGCTGAAGAAGCTATCGGCGACGATCACGAAGAAGTACCCCAAATACGCCAAGTACTCGGCGCAAGTCAACAAGGTCATCAATGTTGCATGTGAGTTGTTGAGGATCGGGATTTTCAAAATCAGTACTTTGCTTAGCATCCCTAAATCGAAATCCGGCATTCGAACCACTTTACTGGTGAGGAATTCAGAATAGCACAGCACTTCCTAATCAGTCAAGGGAACTGGATTTATAGTGTCCGGTGGATTCAAGTGGCGTGAAATTACCGCACGTGTAGCCTTGGGTGTCACATCTCGCAGCATTATTCAACAACCAGCATTCCATTCTTGTCCTGACGCCCTTCTCATCTCTGCGAATTCTCTCGGTTTTCCCTTTTATCCCCGTTACACCCGTTACAGTGAACTCCAAGTACGATTTCTCCGCGCTCAAGAACTCCACGCTCCTCCTGATGAGCGACGCCGTGGCTGACGCGCTAGCGAAGCGCTTCAAGGGCAAGAAGATCTCCACCGATACCGCCTACAACCTCACCGCCGTCCAGATCATCGCGACCCGTTTCACGCAGACCCAGCTTCAAGCTATAACGAGGGGCCAGCTGCTCCGGACTCAGCTCAAGGGTTTGAGTCTTGTTAAGATGTCCCCTAAGGGCCCGAATATAATGCTGGGCCAGGTGGGCATGGCGCGTCCCACGTGGAGCACTGTGGTTGAGCCTCAAATGTACGTCGGGCCGTACTTCATCGCGCATGGCGTCAACAACCCGCAGTTCCCGAAAGGCACGAAGCTGCCCGCTTGACGGAGAGGTAGAATGTGGGGCTTGCTAGTTAGCAGACCCGTTTAGAAATATAAAGATATTATCAGGATCCTTAGGTAGCTGTACCGGCTGCCAGTAAGTCATTCGTGGGCTTGGTAATGTTCTTATATCCAACATTGAGGTTGGCAATCTATGCTACAGTCAAAGGGCTTGATAAACACACATCTAATGAAAGCAGCCATGCATGGTCTCTGCTAACTACCGTAGATTACAGGCTGGTGTAGAGTGCATTACAACAGCAGTCGTATTCCTTAAACAGCAGTAAGCATTTGACAGTACTGTTTGAGGATCTACAGCACGCAAGGCGTTTTCGCCAATACGAAAACAAAATATTGGCGAGAGGTTGGCGAAAATCTGAAGCGGGGAACCAGGGTTGGGTTGGGGGACACAGCAAAATGGGAAAATCTGTTGTGAATGCACCCGTCCTGATCTTGCCCATACCGTTGCCATGCTCTCTCAATGCATGACATCACCTACTCGCATGCATCAGCGTGGAGCACTTCGTGCCCTGCGCTACCTCAAATCATCCTCTTCCTTTGGTCTCCTCTTTCAAGGGTTTGAGGGTGCAAGCATGCTGTACGGCTTCACGGATGCAAATTGGGCTGGGGATATCCCTACTCGCAGGTCCACTAGAGGATATATCTTCATGCTTGGAGGGGCAGCCATCTCTTGGCAGTCAAAGAAGCAGAGTTGTGTGGCTTAATCAACCACGGAGGCAGAGTACATGGCTGCGACCCAAGGAGCCCGAGAAGCAGTGTGGATGAGAGGCCTATTGAAGGAGCTTGACCTCCCACAAGAGAGCCCTACTCCCATCTTCATCGACAACACGTCGACGATCGCTCTCACCAAGAACCTAGTCCTTTGGTGCCGTGCGAAATTGCCGCCAACCAACATTTCGTCAGCTGTGCGAAATTGCCGCCAACCTTAACTCCCTAAACCGCACTGTAACGCTCTTTAACACGCGAGACACGAGTGGGTGTGCACATTTGAGGGGTGAAAGTGACATTTCCGTAGCTGTTTTGTTGTGCCATACAGATGACATTCTCGCAACTTTCACCCTGGGTGTTTTTCCGAAGGTTTTCCGCAACTTTTCCAAAAGAAAAGCTACCGTGTACATTTTGTGCCCACAAGAGATTTCGCGATGTCGTCCTTCCTGACGGCACTCTCCGTTCATATCACACTGGCTCACCAATCACAGCACGCCAATTGCTTGCTGACTTCTCTAGTCATGACCACGTGACTTTCTTGTCAGTGTCAGGATTCAGGAAGGTGTCTCCCAAGAAGCAGCTCATTCGAGGGTCAACCTACCATGTGTGGCCAAGGAAGAGAGGGCAAGCGAAGGGAGCTCAAGCATTTGAACCAGCTTATCTTCCAATGCGGTCTCGGGCACCATCAACGCCGGGAGTGGAACACGAGGATCCGCTTGTGCAGCCTAGAATGCCAACAAGTTGTATGCCCTCAAAGACAGCAAGCTGCTGTAGGTCTTTGCCATGAGATGCTAAGGTCCGAGCATGCTATTGTGTGTCAGAACAAGTATGCTACTACTGAATAGGAAGTGCTTTGGCTGAACCACTGTGAGAAGAAGCAGTATGGTACATGTTACTGTTAAGTGCTTGTAGGGGTGAACCAATCAGGCCCAATAAACATCAACTTGAAAGTATGCAACAATCCGGAGGCCCAGACTAAACAGAACAGATATATCAAAACATAAGTGCTAAGAGTCACAGGCATGACAGAATCTATTCTATAGTGAGAGAAATGAGGGCACCTTACTCATAAATGTATCAGGGGCTAGTAGTGAGTAGGAGGCCTCGCAAGGGCCTAGGCAACACAGCAGAAAATTAAGAAACATACAAAATGACCTACATGATGAATCATTTAGATATGATAGTAAATTGCGCCCTTGCCATGTGTAACCATAGCACGAAAGTTAACTGAACTTACTCTCATCTCATCTCGCAAATGTATCTCCGTCAACAGAACGAGTAATGAAATTCGGTGCTTGACCTGTAACGAGCTGGCTTGTAAGCCCGTCGAAAGTAGCCATCACAATCCGAACCGGCTCTCTCTACATTTCACTGACAGCAGTAATTGTTGTGAATGGCACGCTCTTCACGTGCCACACTACTGTGCCACTCCAACCCCTTCCCCTCAAAACAACCTCGACACATTTTCCCAAGAACCCATCCAAACCACTCAACTCTTCCAAAGCCTATTCCAACCACTCAAGTTACAAACTCCTTTTTTCCAACTCATCCTCTCCAACTCAAGCCTATCAACCACCTCTTTAACTACTCCCAACCACCATAGACTTTCCTAGTCCAACTCAACCAATATTCAAACCAACTTCCCATACTTATCCTCAAGTCCCACCATAAGGCACATGACTCCTCATGATTTTCCATGTGCTTTCCTTTCCTACTCATCAAAGTTTACCCAAGTCATCTACCTCCTCCAATTATCCTCCTCCCATGTGCCTTCAAGCACATGCTTCCACTTCCTAGTCATCAACCTCCACATGCCTCTCATTTATTCCTTCCATCCTTCCTTTCCCAAGTCACCAAAGTTGCCACCTCATCCGTAAAGACTTCATGATTATCCCATCACCTCCTATTACAAAGCAACAAAGCTCATCATCTCCTCCACTCATCCTTATCCAACTCACTAAGCTCTCTTCCAACTCAACAAGGCTTACATCTCCAACTCATCAAGTGCTCAACCACCATCACATGCTCCAATACTATTCATCTACATCAAGCATCTCTACAACTTCTCAAGAAGGTTCTTCAATGACAACAATGCATTCCAAGCTTCTTCACCAAGCTCATTTCCAAGCTTCTCCTTCAAGCTCCTCTTCTACTACAAAGACTCTTCAATAGCAACCAAGTTCTATGTCTCCAAAAGTTGATACTCTCATGCAACTCTCTTCCAAGGCTACCATTGATGGTTACTCTCTCTATGCATGCCTATGTATCCCTCATGGATCTATAAGGCTTGTACTATACCTCTTTCAATATAAGTTTATGCTCACAAAGTGTCTCTCATTAGTCTACAAAGTTAAGCATCAAGTGAAGAGTAGTCACTTCATACTCTACTTGAGTATAAGGTTCATTACTTCCTACAAGCTTGAGGAATGATCATCACCCAACACCAAGCTTGATGTTCTTCTTCAAGTAAAGCTCTCAAGACCAAGCCATTCCTACAAGTCACCTCTACAACTATCCCTATTAAGATTCACGTAAGTGCTTATCACCTCTCTTATTCCCTCAACAAGCTCAGACTCTCTTTCTCTTTTTTGAGTTCTTATCTCATCAAGCATTCCACCTTACACAAGTTTCTCTTTATAGTCACAAGTTCTAAGTATCATCTTCTCTTCTATCAAACTCATCCGCATTTGCTACAATTCCACTGTTCACTCTTGTCTTATTCTATTGTGCAATCATACCCTTTTGTCCTTATCTCTATTATCTACAAAATCTCCCGTCACCAAGATACGTTGCTACTCTCACACACTTGGTGATTGAATCAGCGACTACTAGTAATTTCCGCGATATAACTAGCCATGCTGGGCTTTAGGGTGCTATACCAATAGCGCGACATCTCACATGGATGGCTGGGAGTATCTACACATGTACAGATTAGGCTACGCCTCGAAAACGACCATCAATCGAGCCCCGCATCTCCCTTTCGGTTTGCCCCGCCGTTTTGCATTCGGACTGCCGCCGCGTAGCATTCGCCGAGCCCGCAATGTATGCGGCGCGCTCGTCGTAACCTATTTCTTAGGCGCCACGGCTAGTCGCATTCGGCGGGATCGCTGCAATGCAATCGTTGCATTCAAAATCGCTAAATTTGGTAAGGCAACTGTCTGCCCACCTTCCTGCCCCGCCGCGTTGCCCTCGGCGGGCTCAACGCGTTCAGGCCGACGAGCTTAGCGCCTCACCCGCTTAGCGCCTCACCCGCTGCTCACCTCATCTGCTTAGCGCGTCACCCGCTTAGCGCGTCACTCGCTTAGCTCCCCTCTGTCCCCTCCTTTCCGCCCCTGCATTCCCTCCTTTCCCCCCCTTGCTTCTCCTTTCCCCTCTTACTTCCCCTCCTTCCCGCCCCCCCCGATTCCCCTCCTTTCCGCCCCTGCTTCCCCTCCTTTCCCCCCCTTGCTTCCCCTCCTTTCCCCCCCTGCGTTCCCTCCTTTCCCCCCTTTGCTTCCCCTCCTTTCCGCCCCTGCCTTCCCTCCTTTTCCCCCCCTTGCTTCCCCTCCTTTCCCCCCCCCTTGCTTCCCCTCCTCCCCCCCCCCCCACTGATTCCCCTCCTTTCTGCCCTTGCATTCCCTCCTTTCCCCCCCTTGCTTCCCCTCCTTTCCCCCCCTTGCTTCTCCTCCTTTCCCCCTTTGCTTCCCCTCCGTTCCCCCCCTGCATTCCCTCCTTTTCCCCCCTTTGCTTCCCCTCCTTTCCCCCCCTTGCTTCTCCTCCTTTCCCCCACTGCATCCCTCCTTTCCCCCCTGCTAGCACATCGTTCCCGCCTGACTTGAGGTCACTCCTTCCCACCCTTCCTTCCGATCTCTCCTGCCTTACACGCCATCTCATGTCTCTTCCTTCCCAACACCTTTATGTTCCTCACCATTTACCCTCTTCGCCTTCGCTTTTCCAATCCCTTCCATCCTATCCCCCCTCTCGTCCCTTTCATCTCCCTGCCAACACACCTGTCAAGACACTGGCGTATGCGCTGCAAGTGGTGCAGGCACTGGCAGGGTGTGAGGCGCGGTGAGTCAGAGCGGTGGTGGTGTTGCCCACTCGAGACCAACTCACACCTACCTCAGCTCACTTTCCCAGCCGATGTTTAACCATCAACCTTCCTCTCCCACCATTGCCCCACAAACTAACTTGTCTTTTTGCCCAACACACAATCCCGCCCTCCCCCTCTCCCTCTCTCGCCCTCCTCGCCCACGACCGTGCCATTCTGCCTACTCCAGCAGGTGAAGCACGTGTTTGACACCATGGCGCCAGCTGTCGGCCTCTCAGTGGATCCCATCAACGGCCAATCATCACTCGCTGACGAGGCAATCCACCTGAGGGGCCCTTCACATCTCCACTCCCTGCCTTCACATCTCCACTCCCTGCCTTCACATCTCCACTCCCTGCCGTCACATCTCCACTCCCTGCCTTCACATTTCCACTCCCTGCCTTCACATCTCCACTCCCTGCCTTCACATTTCCACTCCCTGCCTTCACATTTCCACTCCCTGCCTTCACATCTCCACTCCCTGCCTTCACATCTCCATTCCCTGCCTTCACATCTCCACTCCCTGCCTTCACATTTCCACTCCCTGCCTTCACATTTCCACTCCCTGCCTTCACATCTCCACTCCCTGCCTTCACATCTCCACTCCCTGCCTTCACATCTCCACTCCCTGCCTTCACATCTCCACTCCCTGCCTTCACATCTCCACTCCCTGCCCTTCCCTTCTCCTGCCCCACCCTTCTCTTCCCGATCCCTTCTCCCTTCCCTTCCCTTGCATGCGCTCCCCTTCACCCTCACCCACTTTTCCCTTCTGCCCCCCGGTGCTTGTGCACATGGTTCCCTTGTACGCTTGCTTGTATTCAGGGTCTGTTTCTCCTCTTCCGCCTCATAGCACGTCCCCACTGGGTCTTCACACAATCGTTTATGCCTACTCTGCTAATTGGTAGTGCTGAAACAGGGCAGCAGATGCAAACAAAGGCACAGCTTGTAGTGGATGGTGCTCAGAACTTTTGTGTAGTCTATTGTGCGTTGTACGGTATGAGTAGTGTGTTACAGCTAGAGATATTCGTCACAAAGCCTGCTATGTGCTACCACGATTTCAGCAGTGAAGATAATTCATCCAAGATACATGGACAGTGAAGGTGTCACATCACATACAGGTAGAAAGAAATATGCTCTCGCTAAGTCGAATACAGTACTATTGACCTTTCTCTAGCTTATTTGACATGAGATGGTGTGAAGATGAAGATCTTCAGAGCAGTTGGTCACTGAAATACAGGTAGCCGGGGAGGGGGAGTATTTGATTCAACCATAGGCTGTGATGACAGAAGTGAGGAGGGGAAATGATGGGAATCAGGGGGGGAAATGAAGGGAGGCAGGAGGGAGCAGGGGAGAAGTAAGGAGAGGCAGGCTTAGGAAGGGTTCCGGGAGGATGCAGGGAGGGGAGATGGGGATGCAGGTGAGGAGATGGGGATGCAGGGAGGGGAGATGGGGATGCAGGTGAGGAGAGATGGGGATGCAGGGAGGAGAGATGGGGATGCAGGGAGGAGAGATGGGGATGCAGGGAGGAGAGATGGGGAAACATGCAGTGGATATGGGGAAGCAGGAAGGGGAGAGAGGTATGCAGGGCAGGGAGATGGGGATGCAGGGAGGGAAAGGGAAGAGGGGGGGAAGAGATGGGGATGCGGGGTGGAGGGGTGAGGATGAAGAGGTCGGACGAAAGGGCAGAAAGAGAGGAACTGAGAGGAAGGGGAGATGGGGTGGCGGGGTAGCGAGATGGTGAGGCGGGATGTGAAGAACAAAAGGGGGAGAAACAAAAGATGCGCAGAGAGGGTTGGCACTGATGGGGGCAGTCCGGAGGGATGGAGGAGAAGGTAGGGGGGAGAGAGAAGGGAGGGAAAAAAGAGAAAGGAGGGAAGGGACGGAAAGGGAGGAAAGTGAGGAAAGGGAGGGAAGGGAGAGAAGGGAGAGAAGGGAGGGAAGGGAGAGAAGGGGGAAGGGAGAGAAGCGAGGGAAGGGACGGAAAGGGAGGGAAGGGAGGGAAGGGAGAGAAGGGAGAGAAGGGAGAGAAGGGAGGGAAGGGAGAGAAGGGGGAAGGGAGGGAAGGGAGGGAAGGGACGGAAAGGGAGGGAAGGGAGGGAAGGGAGAGAAGGGGGAAGGGAGGGAAGGGAGGGAAGGGAGAGAAGGGGGGAGGGAAGGAAGGGAGGGAAGGGAGAGAAGGCAGGGAAGGGAGGGAAGGGAGGGAAGGGAGGGAAGGGAGAGAAGGGAGGGAAGGGAGAGAAGGGGGAAGGGAGGGAAGGGAGGGAAGGGAGAGAAGGCAGGGAAGGGAGGGAAGGGAGGGAAGGGAGGGAAGGGAGAGAAGGGAGGGAAGGGAGAGAAGGGAGGGAAGGGAGAGAAGGGGGAAGGGAGAGAAGCGAGGGAAGGGACGGAAAGGGAGGGAAGGGAGGGAAGGGAGAGAATGGAGAGAAAGGAAAGAAGGGAGGGAAGGGAGGGAAGGGAGAGAAGGGAGGGAAGGGAGAGAAGGGAGAGAAAGGAAAGAAGGGAGGGAAGGGAGGGAAGGGAGGGAAGGGAGAGAAGGGAGGGAAGGGAGAGAAGGGAGGGAAGGGAGGGAAGGGAGAGAAGGGAGAGAAGGGGGAGGAGGAGAAGGAGTGGCGGGAGGACGAGAAGGCACGGCGGGAGGGGGAGGAGGCAGGGAGGGAGGAGGAGAGGGGGTGGCAGGAGGAGGAGAAGGCATGTTGGGAGGAGGAGAAGGGGTGGCGGGAGGAGGAGAAGGCATGGTGGGAGGAGGAGAAGGCATGGTGGGAGGAGGAGGAGAAGGCATGGTGGGAGGAGGAGAGGGGGTGGCAGGAGGAGGAGAAGGCATGGTGAGAGGACGAGAAGCTATGGCGAGAGGAGGAGAGGGGGTGGCGGGAGGGGGAGAAGGCATGGCGAGAGGAGGAGAAAGGGAGAATTGAGGGCAAGCAGGGGAGAATTGAGGGCAAGCAGGGGAGAATTGAGGGCAAGCAGGGGGGGAAATGCGATCGTGCAAAGGGGGAAAATAAGGCGTACAAGGGAGAAAATGAGGGCGTGCAAGGTGGGGAAACGAGGGCAAGCAGGGAGGGAAAACGAGAGGGTACATGTGGGGCAGTGAGGGCGTTCAGGGGGGTTTTTTAGGGCGTGCAGCGGGGATGCGGAAGCACAGCCGTTGCAAGAGAGTGAGAGAGGGCCGAGGGCCTTATTCGAGTGCAGCTCGCGAAAGGAGGCCGCCGCGAGACGCGGAGAGGCAGCGAGGGGAGGCAGGGAAGATGCGTATGCTAGATGCGCATGCACGGGAAGGTGAGAGGAGGAAACGCGTGGAGGCGAGAGTCGCACGCGCGGAGAGGCGAGAGGAGCAGGCGCGGGGAGGCGAGAGGAGCAGGCGCGGGGAGGCGAGAGGAGCAGGCGCGGGGAGTCGAGAGGAGCAGGCGCGGGGAGGCGAGAGGAGCAGGCGCGGGGAGGCGAGAGGAGCAAGCGCGGGGAGGCGAGAGGAGCAGGCGCGTGGAGGCGAGAGGAGCAGGCGCGGGGAGTCGAGAGTCGCAGGCGCGGGGAGGCGAGAGTCGAGCGCGCGGGGAGGCGTGAGGAGGAAGCGCGGGGGGAAAGCGAGAGGAGAGCGCGGGGATGCGAGAGGAGCACGCCCGGGGAGAATTCGAACCGGGAGGCGATAGGAGCAGGAATGGGTAAGGCGGCGGAATGGGGATTGCGGCGCTAATGGCCTCGCGATGAGGCAGCGAGAGGAGGCGTGGGGCGGCCTTGTCTAAGGTGGCGTGGTATTTGTTCGTACGAATGGGCAATTTGTTCGCGCATGCGCTTGAACAGCGTTACGCGGTTCAATAAATAATTCTGTCCCTAAATCCAGCGGTTAGGTTAGAACGTTGCCCAGTCTACGGAGAATCAGCTACCGAAGTAGGAGCTTGTGGGCTATCCTCTCACTAGTGCAGTTTCAGTTACCTTCTGCAATTCCTTAGGTTTTGAACTTTAAGTGCGGGGAGCCAGACGTGGGGCGTTTGGGGACTAGATTCAGTTGTGAAGTGGGGGGTTGGGGTTGTAATCGCGAAACCAGTTTTTCAAGTTCCTAAGGTTTTTGAAACCCCTGCTTGCAAAAGTATACTGTTGCTTTAAGGCATAAAACGAAAGCAGCAAAAGCATTGCCCTATATGTGGTGCTCACACACTCTCCTCCCCTCCCACACTCCCTATGCCTCCCATGCTCTCTGCCCCACTCACACCCTCTCCACCACTCTCTTCTTGCCACGCCTCTCACGCTCTTCTCCACTCCCACGCTCTTCTCCACTCCCACACTCTTCTCCACTCCCACGCCCTTCTCCACTCCCACGCTTTCCCAAAGTCCACGCACCACCCATGCTCTCTCTACCACTCTCTTTCTCGACCATGCATCCTACGTTTTCCTTTCACTCTCTCTGCAGCGCTCTCGCTCTCTCCGTCACTCCCATGCCTGTGCCTCTCATGCTCTCTTCACGGCACAACTCTCTTCTCTCGTTCGTGCCTCCCACGCTCTCCATGCCTCTCACTCCCTGTGCCTCTCACGCTCTCCGCGTTGCCCGCTCTCACTCTCTCTGCCAACCCCATGCTCCCCACACCTCTTGAAGCCTTTGCACATCTAGGTTCTTCCCACCAATCCCTTCTCTTGTCCGTGCACCCCACGCTTTCTCCGCTACTTCACGCTCTCTTCAGCGCTCACAGCGGTCTACTTATGATGGTTCCTCACCTCTCACAATCTCCTATGCCTCTCAAGCTCTTTGGTCCTCTCACTTTCCTTCCTCCCGAGTTCTCCCCGGTTGCGACAGGTGTATACTACCAATCCAAAATGAGTTTTCCCAGCTGGTTTCTCCACTCATTAGAGACTCATCGCCCTACAAGGACACACATACGCACACCACCACGACCACCTGTCAAAACAGCAGGCTAAAACGATCAACAGGAAAGAGGGGTTTCACTAGCATGTAGTTGAGTGCATATAGCAAACCCTAGTTCAGGCTGTACTCGCTATAGAGTACCCCATTGCAGGCTACACAAACATCACATTCTGACACCACCCCCCAACCCTCACATAGGCATGCACACCTCCCCACCCTCCCCATACCACGCACTCACACACGCGTGCACACCCACACACACACACACACACATATGCACGCACACACACACATGCACACACACACACCTACACACATATACACACATGCACACACACACACACCCTCACCTACCCACTCATACACAAATATGTCAGAAACTAAGGAGCAGTGATGATTGCATTGACATCAAACTGAGTACAATTACTAACCCTAACTGGGTTGTACCCCATAGGCTACCCCACCACAGCCTACACAACATAAACAACATTATAGTTTGACACACCCCTACAGGCAAAGTGGGGCAAAATAAGGGGTCACAAGACCAGTCAAGAAAAGCAAAAACAAGCTCAGGATGGATCACGAAGTCACCACACATTCAGAGCACAAGCAAGTGGCCACAAGGTCAGTTCACATGCAGAATTATAGACATGGGAACAAGTAGTGTAGTGATCACAACCTAGCAAGTGTAAGCATGCAGGTACAAGTATATAGATCACAGTACAAGCAAAGTCACGACGTGAGCAAGTGAGGCAAAGAACGCTGACAATCATGAGGCTGAAGTGCATTGGTGAATATATCAGCAGTGTTGGCCCGAGTGGCCACGTAAACAAGACGAAGCTGACCACGTTGCTGCAACTCTCGAGCAAGGAAGTAACGCAGAGCGATGCGCTTCGTTCTGTGCTCCAGTCTGTGCTCCTGACACAAGGCGATTATGGCCTTGCTGTCTACGTATAGAACTGGAGGAGAACTAGGCCGCTCTCCCAAGTCGGTTAACAGGTAGGTGAGCCAGCGTAACTCCTATGCAACCATGGCCCTGCATAGATTTCAGCCTCGCAACTGGAACAGAGAACAGAAGATGAGCGTGTAGACCGCCAAGAAACAGAGCCGAAGCCAAGACTGAAAGTGTAGCCCTCTGACAATCGCTGCGTAGCCAAGTCGTCGACCAAAAAAGCGTCTGCGTGGCCAGTGAGGACAGCTCAAGCCCGTCCTCCAAGCACGAGCCCCATGCCCGACGTATTGCACAAGCAGCGCATCACCCTCTTAGCGGCCTTCCAGTGCTTTGGTCAGTATCTCCCGGGCGCAACGTAGCGTGCCAGGATTCTAAGAGGGTAGGCAAGGTCAGGTCGAGTGCAGGTCATCAGGCACATGAGGCAGCCCACAAGCTATGGATACGGGCAACCCAGCTCTACGGACTCGTCCGAAGGTGGAGCTGAGAGCGAGTGGCCGGTAGCCAGACGAGTAGACTGTGGCAAGGACCAAGTGAAGCCGAAGCGCTGAACGACCTTCTGCACCATGTGTGACTGAGTCAGGGTGATGGTGCGGCGTACTCTGTCCCGGGTGATCTGCAAGCCAAGATAGCTGCGAAGCTCACCCATGTTTGTGCGGGTGTGTCTCTTCTATAGCTCCAAATTCACAAGGGCCAGTCCCTCAGTGTCACCAGTGGCAAAGATCAAGCCGTCGACGTACACGAGGATGTAGAACGGCGGAAGCGAAGTGTCGGTGCGCAGAAACTGCGACGGGTCAACAGTCGAAGGAGCAAACCCAAGAGCCGCAAGTGTCATCCTCAGTGTGTTGTGCCACTCACGAGGAGCCTGGCGGAGACCGTAGACTGGCCGCCGGAGGCTCCACAGGGTACCTATAGGAAACGACCTAGTGAAGCCAGGTGGGCGGTGCAGCCATATCTCCTCGTGAGGGCTGCCCTGTAAAAAAGCTGTGCTGAAGTCAAGAGAGTGAAGCTCATAATCACACTAAGCGGCGACTTGCAGCAGCACCCGAAGAGTGGTCATCTTCGGAGTAGGGGAAAAGGTATGGAAGAAGTCAACTCCTTGTCGCTCACTAAAGCTCCGAGCAACGTAATGAGCCTTGAAGTCACGCGGAGAACCCGGCGGCCGCTTTACCCCGAAAGTCCACATGCCATCGACTATGTTCGCCCCACGGGGGGGAATTGCGTCGACGTAAGTGCATGTGGACTTCCAGGATGCCATCTCGGCGTCCATGGTTGTCTGCCACTAAGAGGAGTACTCACCTGCAATCGCCTAAGCATAAGAGCGCGGGGTCGGGATGTCAGGAGCATCCGGGTCTCCCTCAGGTGCAATCAGCATGGACACGAGGTGAAGTACAGCAGCTGCAAGACACTCAAAGTCCTCTTGCCTGTCCTCAAGAACGTCCGTGCCAAGAGCACACTCACCCCCCGACGGACGGAAGACAGACAGACTCAGACTCAGCAATAAGACTAGCGGCGTAGTCGAGACGACAAGCTCAGCGACTAGGGCAGACGCAGCAGTGGACTCAAACGAAGGGTCAGTGACAAGAGTGGCCAGGAGACGCGTAACAGTAGGACTTGCAGAACGACCTAATTTAGACTTAGGATCCTGACCATCAGGAAGAGAGGACGCATGAGGAGACGGCAGAGGAACTCGCAGTGGAATAGAGGAAGGACGAAGTGTCATATAGTGAGCGTCGGGGACAGGAGGAGGACGTGAACGCAGAGCACAACAACCAATGCGATCAGGCAAGGTAGGGCAAGACGCAGGCTCATGACGCTCTATAAGAGAGTCTATCAGCTTAGTGTAAGGAGAAGGAGCAGGCAGCGGGGAGTCTGGCTGTATTTGTGGCTGCGACTGGTCACACGGTGGACATAAAAAGGGAGGATTAAGGCCAGTAGAAGACAGGAGACTAAGAGCCTGGCAAAGCACCGAGCCAGGTGGCGTCAGAGACGACGGCGACGGTGGAGCAAAAAACAGGCGCCACGGCACAGTACCTCTAGCACTAGTACGGCCAGTTCCAGCGCCCCCAGCACCTCCAGCACAAGCAGCACCACTAGCTCCAGCAGCTCCAATACCTTCAGTACGAGCACCTCCGGCACCAGCAGCTCTAGCACCTCCAGCACCTCCAGCACCAGCAGCACCACCAGCTCCAGCAGCTCCAGAAACTCCACTACCTACAGCACCTCCAGCACTAGCAGCACCACCAGCTCCGACAGCTCCAGCGCCACCAGCACGAGC